GCGAGTTACTGCCCCATGAGGTCACTATACCATTCTGGAGGCTGAGTACCTCAAACACTGAATGGAAAAATATGCATGCTGCCCTGTGAAGTACTACAGTTTACTGCTTTAGGCCTTAGGCGCCTCTATCACAAGGCGGCGAAGCAAGGTCAAAGGGTTGCTGCAGGGCCTCTGAACATGAATCGGTGACAGTAGGAATTTAGTGGGACCTGAGTTTCCACCAAGCAAGACGGCAAGCCCTATCACATTTGTACCTCCTATCTTGACCGCGTCAGTAAAGCACGTGTTCGTGTTCAGGGCACGTACGCGCAAGGGAAATGCAAGTGGTTCCTGCAGCGCTGTTGTGAATGCGTCTGAAGCGGCATGGCAAGATAGAAGGCGAACTGAGTACTTGAGGTTTGGGTCCAAGTGAATGCGTCAGAGCAGCAAGAATGCAACTAACGCTCCTTCAATGATGCCCGAAACCCGATCTGTAGCTGGTGAGGAAGAAGCGGTGCGTAAAAAACAGTGGAGGAACACGGTTGTCCTAATAGGCAGCGAAGGGACTGAGACTTAGAAGCTCGCAGTAAAGTTGAAATTTCTGCGGAGGGAGGTTAGTCTAAAGGCTTTGCCAGCAATGTGCGAACAAGCTGCCCCTCCCAAAATGAAGGAATCGGTGCTGTTCGCTTGGAACGACGGTCAGACCGCACTCAGCGTCTTATTTTTTGCCAGTGGTCGACGAGAATAAGCAACGCATTGCTAAGAGGCAGATCTTGACAAAAGAAACGGGAAACAACAGCTTCATTTTATTTTTTTTTCTCCAGGATTTTAAAGGGTACTGCAGCGGTGCAAGGACTCTCCAGCATCCTTTGAAAGACGGAAACAACCTGCCGTGGCATCATGACCCCTCACGGGTGCATGAGTACCACAAATGAGTTGAAAATCGATTTAGCTCACTTTGCTGCAGTCTATGTAATTGTAGTTGGGCATGACCCTTTCCTGCGCGTCGCTTGCTGGAACTGCATGAGCTGTGAGACTAATATAATCGAGAACTGCATAGCCTTTGACGCCCATTAGAGAACACGCCTTTTTCGCTAGACTTTCGATGCGTGATATGTTTGAGAACATCTGCTCGTAAGTGAATTTCTCCCCCATGTCTGTCGCTTTCGGTGGCGAAAACATCGTACTGCTTGCCATTTCATAGCCAAACTTCATCCCACGCACTGCACGTAACAGAGGACAAGGGGCAAGTAAAATAGCTGTGCATGCTTGTACCCGGTTTTTGGAAGCCGCAGCACTAACGAGGTGACGTAACTGCTCGTCATATTTTCATATACGGAATAATGCAGTGCCCGTAGGGGGTATTATGAACGAAGCAGTAGCACTTACATGCCAGTGAAATGGTATCCAACTTGTCCCCAGTGAACGCGACGGGATGCAGGAAGATTTCGTCAGTATATATAAGTGGCTTGAGCACGCAATTTGCTCCGGAGCGACCGTCGATGTAGAAGGTGAACATTTCGCAGCGAGATGTGCTTTTGCACAATGATTGGCACGCCTCTGGAGAAGCGACTCTGTCTGTGACAGCTTTCACTGGAGGGGTGCTGCTGTCCATGCCCACCGCAGACCACGTGATTATCTTTCTTTGGATTGCCTGCTGATAAACCTGAGTCATGGTGTTTGCTGCCCGCTGAAAGTATGTAGTTCTAAGCGCTGAAAGGTTGATGGTAGCATGACTGCTGCCTGCATCTGAACGACCATCGTACTTGGATTCCAGTGTACCTATTTGGCCCCCTGTAGAGCTAACACGGAGTGTCTTTGTTACAATCCACGGATATGATCTCTCTGAGCAGACATGCACAGTGCGCTAAGGATCTCTTGGTTTGGCAACGTGCAGATTTACTTCCCAGGCTTCTAGATTCTTTGCACATGACATAGTAAACGCATCTCGCGACCATGGACCGCCGAAAAAATATGGGTGTTTCCCTATCGGAAAATATGCGAAATATCGGAGTAGTGAGGATTTCGTCAGGGAGAGGGAATGGGGAGATGTCCGACAAGTGCGTTCTACATGGCCACTGTGGCGAGAGACTGGGTGTCTACAAGATGCTGACGATAACGAAAGAGTGCGTCTCCATGTGCATCTTCGTAAATGGTAAGTACACGGCTACGTTCGGGAGCTTAGTTTACTAAAGCTCTACGCATCCTGCTGAGAATAACCCCAACTTCACCAACTACAACCTGGAAAGTGTGAAATGTGTTTCGAAGGCATGTTCTCCGCACGCGTCGGAATTTGGCACCGCGAAGCGCGGGACGCAGTTTCATTGGTTTCCCTCGACTCCGCGAGTAAGGCATGTGGGCAAACGCGTGGACCGACGACGGTCTTCATCGATTCAAGCCTTCGCCGCAACGCAGCCTCGCGAGATTGAGCATCCGGAATCTCTATTGATGCTTGCTCAGAAGGAGATGAGTACACAGACAAACCCAAAGGAAGTTCATTTGGCCGCCGTAGGCTTATGTGGGCGTCCCACAATCGGCAGTCCTCCGTGAGTACATTCCATTCCCAAGCGGCACATCGCTCGTCGGACTCCTGACAAAGACGTTGGCATTCCTCTGCACTTTGTGCAGCGCAAGTATGCAAGAGTGGTGAGGTGCGTTGTTCTATCGACAATGAGGGGTCAGATGGTGCTGGAGAGACCGTCCACCCATCAGAAAAGCAAGAATGTCCTCCAGTTGCCACTGACACAACGCAGCGGAGGCAAACAGAAAAAAAAGTGTTTGCAAAATGTGCAATGCATGGAAATAAGCGAAACAGAGAATGCATTTTTAGATCAGGAAGGGGAGTTTGGCATATCAACAGGGTGATGTTTTCTCGTGCATATGCCTCGTAATCACGTTGCCTTGCTGCTCTAATTCGGGCTCTCCTTACGCAGTATGAGTGCTTTCAACTAATTGATGTGGAGAAGGAGTACATACGCGAAATCGCCAGTGAACAGTCCGTTGTGGCTGAGACTGCATCATCCTGCCTGCGGATTAGAATTCCTTCTGCGGGGTCCTCCGCTCTCAACACACAATAGCTCCTACCCCTTTCAAACGACCAATGAGTACAAGGGGACACATCCTCACATGCCCTTGCGCAGTCAGCTTCAGTGTTGGTTTTGAGCAAATAAAGCCTCCTACCCTTGCCTAGTGCAAACCCTTCCAAGTGACACCATCCCCAAGCTGGCTGTGGTAGGAGGCAAGTTGCAACGAGAAGCAACGCAGCAAAAGGGCTACGCTCCAGCAACATTCCCTCTATAACGGGTAAGGACTAAGGAAAGTGCAGGATGCCGCGTCTCCCCTTCAAATCCGGGTCCTGCAGTAAATAGGCGTGTGCTGGAGGGAGCCCGTCGGTCTTCACGTGCTGGCTTAGTTTGCGCCTGCTTTCTAAAAGGGCAGCAGAATGCCTGATATCACTTTCTGGCAGAAGTCTTTTTTTTTGATGCAGTTTCTCGCTCGCTAGCGTGTGACACATCCCCGGAAGTTGACGTAGGCTTTTGGGCGTTGGCCGCATGCAACTGCAGGCCAGAAAGCCGGCTCGTGGTTGGGCGGTTCAATCTAAGGATGGAAATGAAATATGTCGAGAGCGTCATCTACTTCCATTATGAAGGAGAGGAGGCGCTTCCAAGAACCTCTTCCAGGCCATTCTGTCCAGGCCAGCGAAATCGACAACTCGTTGGGCTGCATGCGTTGCTCAAGAAGACGTCAGCGAACAGAAATTTGTTTCTTCCATGCTACAGAATTAATGCAACTCGGAAAAAAGTAACTGCTTTTTATGAAACAGAGACTGGGTTTTCTCTGAGTTGCTTCCATGGGCGTCAACGTTCACACTGGACCCCACCCGTGCGGCCCTCGAGGTCACCGAGACGAGGCGTTAAACCAAGCTGCAGATCTGGCTCACCTTAGGCATTACCAGTAGGCTGCTAGGATTACTGGCTGGTAAGCAATGACAAGGGCTGATGGTTGCAGCGTGGAGTGGGCAGCCGCTCCTAGGTTATAGTTGGATGCAGCAGGCACCAAATAATGCCAACCGCCGCTACGTCGAGCGGCTATCCTGTATACTCAAGCACTGGGCATGCATTAAACGGTGCTAACTTTCTTATATCGTGCGAGCTGCCGCGTACTTTTGATGCATACCGGACATGAGTGTATTTGGAAATTGTTGGAAAGAGAAAAGCCATGAGTGTAGTTTTCTGATAAGCAGGAGATGCAATCGTTGCGGTGAGCAACGTTGCCATGGCCCTGACGCGTGTAAGTGAAAATATTGTAGCGAGAAGGCAAGCCACCCTGAAGACATTAATGGCCATATGGTTTTAGTTGCCGCAGCATACACATAGAAAGGCTATCCATATATGTAGAGAAGATACATCGTTGCATGCGTAGGCGAGTTTTGCCCAGACGAAGCAACACCGTACGCTTGGTACTCTCCGGATTAGCAAGGGCGTCACAGGCTTCAGATCCCCTCAGAACAAATCATCGCTTCAAAGCACACCGGCCGCCTGCATGCAGCGTTTTGACTAACTGTTAAGTTCATGCATTTTCTGCAGTTGCTATGGCTCAGTATAAACGCATTTCAGCTCTCTTGGAAAACCGCACGACCTTTCTGAATAATGGTGGGGAATTCCACCAATATTGGCTCAGTCTAGCAGCCTAATTTTCCACTGTATATCTTTGCAGCAAATGTAAATTCTTCTGCATGACCTACGGGTATGTACACCGCATGAGTACCGTTAATTCCAACGGCAGCATTTGATCTAGTGTGTGTTGCTACGAAATTCACAGACAGTATCTTGCGTCCTGCAAACCTTTACCGTTGCACACTAGAAGCCACAAGCTGCACCGCTGAGTTCTCTCTTGCGTGCGTGGGGCACATATCGTAAAGTATTGCGTCAGGCGAAGCAACGTGTTGCCGTCTGCATCCGTTGGAACTCCCCAGATATATTGGATGCCAGCGGTGTCAATTCACCACACGTATCCATCGATTAAAATGCCTGTAGGACCTTGTCAAGTTGTAAATTGTAAAGTTGTGCAAAAAGCAACAGCCATGCAACGATGAAACTCTTCAAGGCTTCCGCCTTCTGGGAAATCACATCCAGACCGATGCAGATGTGAATGCGCTGCCTTGCCTGACTGGGCAGCATGCACATTAGAAACAACATGGATCTCTAGTTTGTGGCTGCTGACGTGTCAACATATGGATTTTGACCCAAACGTATGCTCAAACAACAAACTGAAATCAGGTCTCAGTCGAGTTGAATAACGAGCTTTAGCCAGTGAGGGGGCGTAATCGTCTACGGGCGCACCCTTATATAAAAAGATAAAATGAATTACTTAATATGGGATATATGGGGAAACTGTTGGGCGGGGAAAAGCCCTGATCACAGGGATAACCTCAGGGGGGCAGTTTGCATCTAGGCTGCCAACCCAGCCCGTTGCGGCGCCTAGTAGCTACTGACTAGAGCAAGGTTTTCCTGACTACCAAAAAACAAACGGATATATTGACTCCATAACGGAGCGACGAGATGCGAGTTTTTGAGGCAGAATGACGGATAAGTGAAAACTATTACTGGCTTACATCTTACGTACGGGGACCAAGGAATCTGCGTTGGACAACGTTGAGCTGGGTGGTAGACTTCGATACCTGCGGCAGCAGATGCACCAGAAACATCAAATTGTTCTTCCTTTTAGTCTCGAAACATCAAATATCCAAGCAGAAGGGAGACACAGTGATTGCGATATGCAACATACATCCAATATATAGTGAAATTAAGGAGAGACTAAAGCGTCTATTTGCGGATTTTCCCTGAAAATCTGGCGGGGACGACTTTAGAATGCTTACCTCTTGAAGGCACATCTTCAGGCGAGCGGCTTGGCTTTCATGATCTTCCTTAATACTTGCCCCTCCGTCCCCTTTTGTTAACTCACGTGAACCCTTTTCGGGCATCAAGTTTCTAATAAGGATTTCAATTTGCTTCATGCTTTTCGCCAATGTTGTGCTGCATAGAGGTGAAGACCGCAAGTGCAGCTCACACGGAAACGTCTCGGCGCACGCCTAACCAACCAGCCCCATTCCATAATGCAGGAAAATGAATTAGTGCCGAGCATTTAGTCAGTCGATCCCAACTAGTGAGATCCATCCGCGTTTTTCCTACGGGCAATCAGTTTTCGGTGTCGGAGTACGTACCGCATGCGAGCACATCTTTTGAAAAATTCCTTCTCTGACAATTCGTGAAGCTTTTGCTCGTCTTCATCTGCGCCTTCTGCAACAGCCCGAAGGTGCTGCCGGGCTTTTGCCAGCCACTGCTGCGAGAACTTGAGCGCCACCTGCGCGTATCGCGGACCGGCTGACCCTCCTGTCAGCGGAAGTGTAGATTGTATGAAACTGGCAGTGGCGCAATGCCTTCACTGTAGCTATGCATAGGCAGTGAGAGTTGATTAACGCTCAGGTGGCTCACACCCGCGCGCTGAACAGGGCGCCAAGCAAATGCGCACATTAGCGTTCGGCCGTTAACTAAAGCCACCACTGTGGTCCTGACCTGCTGGGTCTTTGCCCGACCAAACAAAAATCGTTGCCGGTGAAGCTGCTGACTGAGGAATTGTGCCTGCTGTTCTAGGGCATCTTGTTCCATGGCTTTCCGTTCCTTGGCTGCGTCATTAATGATGCGTCTCCTTCTTTGCTGCATCCTGTTGAGCAACTTTTCGTGGTAGATGGCGTTCTGGCGGTTCTTCTCAGCATGGAGGGCACGCTCAAGCTGCCGTATGTCTGCTGTGAGCTCACTCAACAATCGTTCATGCACAGCATTACCTTGCATTCCATCTGCTGCTCCAGCTCCGTCTTTGCTTGCCTTCGACCTTGCTTCAATGGTTGCATCAATCATCTTCCTCCTTTCCTTCAAGCCGGCCTCTACCATCTCTTGGACTTGTTGCAGCTTCGTCCACTCTTCGTTCTTCATGTCAACTAGCTTTTGTGCCCATTGCGCCTGCAGCCAAATGGAAAGGATTTCGGGAGGTTCGAGCTATGCGGCATGAATGGGAAAAAGCAGCAAAACTGTCTTTAGCGCGCGTAAAATATGGGGAGAGTACAAGATGCAGGCTATGGCACTGATACAGTCGCCATCTTTATTGGCATCGAAGGCTCGCACAAGACGACAAGTAAGGCTGTTAGAGACATTTCTGGGAATAGTGTTTCGTGGCACAATTGTCGTAATTTGCTAGAAGAGGCGACATGCAGATGTAAGCTACACGCAGAAAGGATCACCTCTACGGCTTTGATTCTCTCGTCAACATGAGCCTTGTAAGCCGCCTCTTTTTCCTCCATTGCCCTTTGGGCGGCAACCTGTTCCTGGTGAATTGCCTCGAATCGCTGCTTCCATGCGTCAGCCATGCGTCTCCTCGCTGCAGGCAAGATGGCGCCGCAGCGAGCCTGTTCCTTTTCTAGTACATCCAGGAGCAGAAAACCAGGGAAGCTTTCAGCACATCTCGTGGAGATAGGTAACACCCCTTGCGGCGTCTCAAATCACTCAGGCAGCGGCTATTTCATGTAGCTTTTTATTTTCGGTATAACTGACTCTCTTGCGTCTCTTCCAAATATGCCTTAGCCGCCTCGCTGCCTTTCGCAGCCAACAGCTTCAGCTTTCCTGCAAAATGGAGAAAAAGCCTTGCATATATTGTGCGTCGGGAGATGAGAAAATGCGAGGCTCAATACATAAGATAATTGAACCGTTGCCCCGTCGCGACTGGACAGACTACAGCTCCAGCGTCCCAATCCTTAGCAGCTCAGTGTGGTGAACACAGAATGTAGGGCGAGCGAGCAATGCATGCGTTGCTGCACGCCTATTTACAAATAATGTTCTTATCGAAGTGCCCCCTTTTAAAGGTGTTAGTTTAGTCTCTTATTTGTTCGGAGAATGCACAAGTTTGGTGCATATACCCCCATCTCCCTCTGTTGGTAATCACAAAGAAGGGTCTTCTTGGTACACAACAAGGATCATACCTTCTAGCGATGCTTGCCACGTTTCTTCCAGCTCGCATTTTTCGTGCAGCTGGCTGTCTTCTATGCGTCTCGAAGCAGCCCTCCAGCCTGCATGCCTCAACTGGAGATCAGCCTGACGCCAGCAGTAAACGGCAATACAAAGAGCTTTACGCGGTTGTACGCTTAGCTTTCCCATCCCACTCATTGATGCCGTATAACGAGGGCACGGTCTGCATACCACGAGTCAATAAGAAGTATCGCAGTTACAATACTTACGTCGGCCTCGCCGTCGTGATGCGTAGCCCAGTCTTTAATGAAGTTGTCGTACGCATCTTCCATAGCGTGTGCCTGCCTCTTCTCCATTTCGCGCAGCTGCTGTTGATACCGTTGGTGGGATTCTGTCCAAAGCTGCCTAGCAAGCTTGTCCAGCTCGTGGGGCTCTACTTCAAACTCGATGGAAAAGTCAACAAGGTCTTGTTGCAGTTCCTGCTGGAGCCTGTCAAGCTTCACCTGCTTCTCCTTTTCCAGTTCCTCCAGAGCCTTTTGCTGCTCGGCTTGAAGGCGGGCCTTCTTCTCAAGGAGGCGCTGTCGCCTTTCTTGCACTAATTGCTGAGCCCGCTGATCCTGTATTAGTCTCTCTTGATCATTGGCCGTCTCAGCCTGTCTGAGACGTTCTCGGTATTCTTCCATGAGCTGCGCCTGGGCCGCCTTAATATCCCCTGTAGCTAACGCGAGCTCCAGCTGCCGCCGTTTATCTGCAGCTGCTTCTTGTCTAGAATGCAGCGGTGCCTCTTGGTCTTCATTTCCACAATCCACGCTGGTGGCTCCATCAACATTCCCACCCAGCGTATTGGGGCTCCCGCCTGCTTCCTCGGCTGGTCGCGTCTCTGTGCTGATTTGCTGTTGGCCTTCCTCCCCCTGCTGTGCCCCCTCGGCAGTTTCTGGTGACATTCCTGCATTCATACAAGCGTCTCCTTCAGCTGGCTGGCTAGAGCCAACTTGTACTGCTGTTAGCGGTTCTGTGGTACCTGCCAGTTGCATCTGTTGGCTGAGGGATTCGAGCTCTTCGAGTTCAGCATCCACTGATCGGAGTTCCTCTTCCTGCTTGCGAGCCAGTTGGGCTTTCTGAAGTTCAAACTCGACATCCGCCTGGTGGATAGCGAGCTGGCGCAGCAAGTCATTCATAAAGCGGCCCTTTTCATTTGCCAGTGGGCCCTGGTACTGTTGTAGCTGTCAAAACGGAATCACAAACACAAAACAAAGCAATCCTGACTAGCCGGTAGTTACAGTTAAAACAGAAATTCGGCCAACATCATTTGCACACACAAACAGAAAGACTGGAGATGGAGGACGGAAAGAGGGCCTAGAGTATCAATTGTGTAGTGTATACAGAAGTGTAGTCAAATGCCTGTGGACGCACCTCCATAATTTCATGGGACACATTCAGCTGCTGCCTGTGCCGTGAGGCTTTCTGGGCCTCTTGGGACTTCGAAAGGCTACGCATGCGTTCACCATATGCGGCCTTTTGCCTTTGCATCTCATCGGCATTGTTTGATGCTGATGCAGCGAGCAACTTCTCCCAGCTTGCACAATAATCGGCTATATCTGGGTCTACAGTTGATGCGCCGCCAGTCTGCAAGAATTAGCTGAGCATGGATGCACTCGTTGAATAAGTGCAGTGGGAAGCTGGCCAGAAAGCCAATGAAAATGCTCTCACGCGGAAAACAGGTTGCAAGTCCACAATACGGAATTCTCATTGACTTACAGAAATATTGATCATTGCCGTTGCCTTTGTTTCTGCGTGCTGCAGCAGCAGTTCTGTAACCCGAGAAGTGGCACTCTGTACTTCCGCTTCGTGTACTTCAGTTGCAGCAATCTCCAGATGCGCTGTATCGCTGCCCCTTATTTCCTCAGAGTGCAGGAGCTCGAGCAGTTCCTCCTCCTTCGCCTTAAGCATTTCGAAGGCTGTGATTTCACAGGCAAGCCGAGATTCCTCTTCATCCTGAAAGCATTGCCAACTAGATGTTGAGTCTTGGATCAAATACTGTTGCTCAATTTGACGCAATACCAATGCCAAACTATACCTCAAGCGGCAATTCTTCTTAAGTATCCTTGGCTTGGTGATTACTGTTGACGATGTTGGATGGCTCCCTTTTCATGCACGAGTATTTAACAGTAGTGTGGAGAGCTTGATAAGCTTTCCTTCCATTTTTCACGACTCCTGCGTATGCTAAAGTGCTTGTTAAGCATCTGAAACAAGTGTACATCTTGCGGCAGTGTTGCCGTTAAGGCAAGCTGCATCGGGGATGTCGATTCCATTGGTGACTCACGCGTGTCCGCTTGATTGTGTCCTGTTCCCCCTGTGCTATCTCCTTTATTCGAGATTCTAGTTCACATGTATCGTATTGATGGCCCCTGTAGCCCTCCAGGAGATTCAACTGCTTTTGGAACGTCTCAGTGCGAACATCGGCCTCTGATGCTAGTAAGAACGCCTCGGAGATGCTCTGCAGTGCATGCTCACAGGATATCAGAGCTTACAATGTAGAGGCGCGATCACCAAGTGCAGGCTCAGGAAAGTGTGCAGGAATTCGCTGCTATTTGTGGGACTCGACTGGACTTCGGAATTGAGCATGCGTTCTATACCACACTTTCACGAATTGCGATTGCGAGACACTCACTTGCGCCACTAGGATCTTAAGCTGCGTCCTCTCTTTCATGTCTTCCTTATGAAGCGCCGCAACTTTTTCTGCTGCCTGCTTTGCCAAGGCATACGACTCTTCTCGGTGCGCATACATTACCTGCTTCAATCCCTCAATGTATCGACCGTTTCTGCATTTTGGACGAAGAAGGAAGCACAGAAAGCAGTTGACATCCTGTTGAACCCTTCATTTACACCACGAGCTCAACTGCTCATTCAACTACAAAAATAGCGATGCCGAATACAGGTTACTGAGATGTTTGGGCTCCAAGCGTATTATTGAGGATGTGGCTGCAGCCAGCGGAAACTGCCCTTGGGCGCAACGTCACGTGCAGTTAGTCTCTATTCTGGCCTTATGAGCAACCAACGGACCAGGAGCAGAATAGAAGAAGGGGCGAAAGAAATGGAATCTTCTTAAATGCTCTGAAGGATGCGCCTGTGTAACTGCGCTTGGCTGGTGAGCTGTACCAGAAAACCTACGTGCGTTTGAGGGCGACAACCGCCCCTGCGTGCGCGATTTGGAACTGCTTGGACTGGGCTTGTATCAGGCCCTGGAGGCTCGCCTGCTGCTGTTGCCGCAGTTCGTGAACCCGATCTTTAGTGCTGTCAGGCAGCGCTCGAACTTGGCACAAGTCCTCGAAAGCTCGAGATAAGCCCATGTGCCTCAAGAGTGGGGCCCCAAGTCCAGCCTCAGCCAGCGTGGCGGTTTCAACAAGTCCTAAAATCTTGGCAACAGCTCCTTTTGCGCGGTCGGACTGCACGTACACCGTCTCCCTCGGCCTCTAGATGGTATACGACACCAAAAGGGAGCGCTTGTTTGTGTAGCAAGGGGCAAAACAATGGAGGTTAGCATCGGGCGTGCAGGCAAACACCAACTTCAGGCCCGGAATAGACATCTAGATGCTGCCAGGTCCTTAAAAGGTTAACAATCGCCGGGTGCGGTGGTCTTACAGCCAGCCGAGACGAGTCGGCGATGTACTTCTGCAGGGCTTGATGGCGTTGTTCCAAGTGTGCGAGCCTGGTTTCCTCGCACTGCTTTTGCAGCTCTTCACGCCTAGCGAAGGCGGCTGCCACAGCATCCAGTGCACTCTTCTTCATTTCCTCAATGCGGTCTGGGTCCAAGGCCAAAAGCGTTTGTGGGGCGTCTGCTTCCGCGGACTCAGTGAGACATGCTGTTACCATTTTCACAACGGCTCCTCCTGAGCTGCCTTTGCACTTTCGCGCCAAGCTTAAGGCCTCAGCGTGAGCATCAGCTGCTGCGGTCGCTTTTGCAACTGCAGCTGCATAAAGGGACCGAATTTCCTTTTTAAAAGCCTTGTGGAGTTTTGCCAGAGCTGACCTTTCACGCTCCGCCAACACATGGGAATGCCTCGCAATCGCGTCGTGGGCAGTTTTCAGGGAAGTGTGCAGTAGTTCACTCTGTGCTTCGGCCTTCGCAATAATTTCGGCCTCTTGCTTCTGCTTCAGCTCTTTCAGCTGCTTCGCTGCATTGCGTGTGTAAGAGGACTGAGTCCAGTTGCCAACCGACTTGGCGCACTTCTGCTGGATTATTGACCCAATCGAGCCGGTGAGGTTATTCACCAGGGAAGGAATTTCGTCGTCGCGCGCCACCATCAGTTCTGCTAGCACCTATGAGAAATTGCAGATGCGCAGGGAGCCTTTCGTCAGTGTGTCAAGCACCGACGGAGGGTGGGAGGAGGTGCCTGTCGTGTTGGTCTCCTCCTGTGTCACTTCTGCTCCTTTTATGGGGAAGCGTTCACTACCAATGCATTTAGCCTAAAGCAGAGATGCGCAGCGACTGTACCTCTTGAAACACTCGGTTCAGAGGAACTGATATTTCGCTTAAGACTCTGCAGCATGGCAAAGCACCAACACACCGAAGATGACCGCTTCCTAAAGACAGGGCTGCGTCTCCAAAGGGGAAGACACACACCCAAACGTACAGTCAACTTCGTAGGGCGTCACTAAGAGCCCTACTAGCCAGATAGGCCTCAAAAGCTGATTAAGTGCACTCGAATGAGCTAGGGAGCTAACCGATCATCTTCCCTAGCCCTCTCGATGACCCTGTTTTGCTGCCACTCTAGGATGGAAGTATTTTGCGAGACTTGAAGAGCCAGCATTTCTTGTCTGGACATCGTGCAAAGGGCAATGAAGGCGTCAATCTTTTCCTTCATTCTACGTTCAGCCAGGTCCACGTGTCTGTGCAAATATGAGAGGCTTTTGAACCGGGCAGCGGTCTGCTTCGACTCTCGTTTGAGTAGCAAGTCGTAAACCGATGCTAACATGAAGTGCCGTTGGCCGTCAGGGTCTGCGGTTGCCTTCGAGGCAAACTGGTCGGTGACCTCTTTAATGTCTTCCACCGACTCCTTATTCTGCAAGCATGTCATAAGTGCACTGCAGCGCGCAAGGGGGAAAAATGACAAAGACCCACAAGAGAGAGACAAGCCTCACACTAATGTCATAAAGAACAGACGCTGCTCTAACCCTGTCAACAAGGCAGACGGCAACTGGTGAGGCTTTTTTGCAAGTTCTACGATGAATATCTGCTTGCAGTGCGCTGGTTATTGGCGACATACTTCCTTTGCATTCCTGATGGCTACATCAAGGGAATCATAGACAGAAGGGCCTGCCTTTGCGACGCACGCCCTCAATATTTCGGCCTCCTTGTTGACCGCGTTTCCTCGCTTGAGAATGGGCTGTTCTTGATCTTGCCTGGACTGGAGTTCGCTATCGAGTTCCTTGAGCTTCTGCTCAGCTTCTTGGCGCTTTTCAGGGCCTTGGAGAGCCGCCAAGATGCACCGCAGCAGCGCAGTGACGTGCCGACTGTTGATTGACACGTTGCCGCTCAGCTGCGACGAATCAACCCTCTCTTGCAACGAAGTAAGCATCTTCCCAACCTGAGGCCATACTATCGCAGATGGATTGAATGCTTTTGTCTGGCCTGGCGCCTTTCGTTGTGTCGTTTAATGCCTTTTCACCTCCCAAGGTATATGGGTAGCAAACTGAAAAGCGAGGTGTAAGCGCGGTGGCAGAAACAGGGGCCACCCAAAGGAGGAAGCCCTCTTCGTTTCTCACCAACTGAGTTGCCTCCGCACAAGTGTCCTTTTCGCGCTGCATTTCCTGGTCTAGCAGATGCGTGACAGCCGCCCGCATGTCGCACAGCTTCTCAAGGGTTGCCTGAGGATATAGTGAAAGCATAGCACATACTTTCATGAATGAAATGGCAACACACTTACCTAAATTCATGCCTCCAACCTATAGGCATGACCTGAACATGCACGGGAAATTATCATATCGACCTGAATACCAGGATATTGCTTAACAGGAAAAAAGGCAGATTGATGCGGAGAATTTGCTGCTGAGCTGTCCCTACTTGCACGACACGGAGGTCCTGGATGTCGATTTCAACGTGCAGCCGGTCAAGCGCAGGTTTCACATCGGCAACGGGGTCGTACTGCTCTTGTTCCTGCCATGCCGCATCGCAGGGCTTTCAAACCATACTAAATGTTCCAGTGGCTACGACTGCACAAGCTGTTGGCCTGGATGCTTTGGGAGGTGAAGGATCAAATTGAACCTCATATGCTTGCTGTAGTGAAAGACGGTTGTGCGCGGATGAAACACAATAACTCCGGCGCCTTCAATAGTAACTACGAGGGTTTCTTGAGGCGACCCTTGCAGCTCGTTGCCTACATGGGGCTTTGGATTTTATTGCATTGCATCCTTCAATGAATGAATAACGAATTCGGTCCCACCACGAATAGTGAGGCAGCAAGCAGACTTTACTAAGAACCTTGCAGGTTCAAACTCACTGTGCTGTCAAGCAGATCGTCTCGTATTCTGTAGTGGAAGATGCGTGTCGAGCCGGTTGGCCTCATGTAGCGGGAATAGAGAGCTACCGCTGCACGGTGGGTCTCTTTGTGGCTTCTGACGGCCAGCGTATCACTGCCTCTAAGGCAAAGAGCAGACTCCAAAGTGGATGGCGCCCGAGCAGTGGCCCAGCGGTGGCGGACGAAGCGTACGGCTATGCCGAGTAGGATCACCACAACCAACACCAATGCTACCAGCAGTCCCACAAGAAGGGTCCAGTCTGGGTCGAGGAGGATGCTGCTGGTCAGGAGAGATATGGCCAGGAGACTCAAAGGGCGCAGACGGATGGGAGTAGGATATCTGAGCACCAGTTCCAGGCACACTTCACTTACCACCGAAACTAGATAGCATGACGCGCGCTCTGGCTCCCCATCTAGGCCGTGAAGACGCAACAAAATCATTCGGAAGGCATTGAAGGGGGGGCAGGCGGTTCATGGGTAGGACGCCACGGCACATTTGTGTAACTGTGAAACCTTATCCTGCACGCGGGCAGCGTTGGTGAATAACCCTCACCCAGTGTCTCCCGGGCAGCCCATGCCTGGGGGCATAACTCGCACGAGCGACACTTTCGAGTTGTGCTTAGATGAAGCAAATACGAATGTCCCTTCAGTTTCAAACGTATGAATAAAGAAATTGGGACTTCTCCCATTCTCCACTTGCTTCTTGAGTGCCCTAAAGCCAGTGCTGTCGAAGGTAGTGCCTGTGGTCAGAAGAGAGTCCTGAAAGGCAGCAAATCGCGTGTGAAGCATTAAAAGAAACATAGTCCACAAAGCTGCCTTCAGCTTTCCCCCTGCCTCCCCTTCACTCTAGCACTACACTGGCACAAGTTGTATGTCCTGCTAGCGGGAAACGCAGCTGCAAGTGGCAAGCTGCTACCAACATCAGTAGGAGCTGTCATTATTATACGCTAGCTTTGTCTTGTCTTGAGGATGCCGCACTGACCTTTATGTATATGGGGTAAACACCGTCTTTCAGCTCCCATACAATTGAGGAGCCCTGAACGACGCAGATTACCGAATTGTCGACAATCATGGACTGAAGCTCCGACAAGGACGGCTGTCTGGCGCTGTCTCGGAACTGTTTGCCTGCACGACGTGGCTGCTGATGCATCTCTGAATCCCCAAAGGCAAATCCATCCTGTTCTGATGCAATTCCTAGTGTAGTGCCGTTCGTCTTCCACGAGCTGCGGCGAGCCCAAGCAAGCGGGCGGCGAGTTTGCTTCCCACTGCGCCAGCTCCGCGACGGGGACCAAAGTGAGCTTGGAGGTACGTACAGCCCGTGCAGCCCCGATTTATCAGCCCGTTGGAAGTGGATTTTGCAGGGGATCGAAATACCAGCAAACATTTCCTATGCAGAAAACATATTGCGTTCACTCGACTCTCCACTGCCGCCTCATAGCAGCACACAGCTGCATCCTCTCACGGTTGCGAGCGGTCGCCCTACGATTGAATTTATCCCCCTATCTCGGGTTGTCTCTGTCTTACTCTGAACATCGAGCAGTACATAGAGGCTTCAGAGAGGTCTATATCTGGGTGCTGCAAGATAGTCGTTGCTCCTGTCTCGGATTCCCTCAGGGCAATTTGATCTCCTTCCAGGACTACGGTGGGCAGAGCTTGCTTGCAGTTGCCGTCGCACTGCGCTGTTTCTGCAATAGCTTTGGCGCACTCACAGAGGCCGACAGTGTTCAGGAAGTTGCCGCCCTCAGGGCCGCAGGCCTCCGTGCAGTCCGCTGAAGCCACACAACGGCCCAGGTAGTCCCTGTATTCGAGGGGTTCACAGCGCTTGAACGTCACTGGCTGACATTTCAGCGTCCCGTCTTCCAACTCCGACACTTCTAGGTGGTGATCGTAGCTCACGTATCTGCACACAAAGGGGAGAGGGAAGGAGGAAGAGAGTTTGGCGGCGCGCTACACAGAGGGACGAAGAGACAGTTAGAGAGGCAGGGGACCTGTACTCAGGCTTTGGCGCGGTTGCGAGACATCGGTGTAACCAACCGGCTCTGGCAGGGACACGTCTTGTCTCCGTATTGGTACACGCGATTTTCGCCTAAACACGTGCACGTGTACGCCCCCAACTGCCGTTCTTCCACGGAATTCGGGCCGCACGTGTCACACGAGGTCTGCAGCCCACCACCCAACACTGCAGGAAACACCTTGAAACGAACGCTGGTGCTTCTGAAGCCTAAAATGCCACGTGTTACGCCCATAAAGGTGTACCATGAATGAGCGTAAGACAGCCAGTCGTAGGTCCATATTGATGCCCAGACTGCAGCAGCACCAAGTTGCCAAAGCCTGCAGCTCGGTATCCTGGTGTGCTTCCCCGTGAGCGCAACAGGTCAGCCAAGCCCGATCTAGGGGATGCATATACGCGGCATTGCGCCTAGTTCGAAATGACATCGTTTTCGCAACACCAAATTGAAAACCAAGACGAAACAGGTAGGGAGTTGGTAGAGAAGAGTGGGCTTGTGCTGCCTTCTGAGTAGTGGGAACGATTGCAGTAATAGCCTTGAGGACTTTCGAGGACTCCCAGCTCCGGCTGTGCCGATTCGCGCAGACGCACCATTGCAACGAAGCGCTGGTAGGTGCCAAAAGGACACTGCAAGCAATCAGAGGCACTTTTGCCGCCCGGATCTTCTCTATACGTTCCCGGTGAGCAGGGATGAGGCGTGACGGCTCCCGAAGGACAGTAGTATCCAGCTGGACAGATGTAGCCGCCGCCGTCGCTTTCTGACGGAGTAGGAGTTGTCGATCCCTCTGTAGCGGCCCCACAAGACAGGCTGTTCGAGCAGATCACAATACCGAACTCTAATAGCAAACCAGCGAACTCTGGAAACTCTAAACTCTCAATTGGGTGCTGAATGTATAGAACACTACGCCTATTTCCGTTCAACGCCACGTATCCACAGATAGGCTTCATGCGTGCGTTTTATCCCTCCCTGCACTATTTCAAAAGCTGCAAATCAGATATGCAGAACAGAATGAGTGCGAGATGGGCACCTGTGCATATGTAGCCTGGGCTACAAGGACTGCAGACAAACGATGCCTCTGCGTCAGAGTAGGTCCCCGGCGGGCACAGCTCGCAGCATTCCTCGGCAGTGAACGCTCCCTCGCAAGCCGAGGTGGCCTGCAGGTAAGCAACCTTAACAACCGTTGTACAGCACGAGCAGGAAGCTACAAAGCAGGCAACAACGCAGTAGGGCACCTTGAAGCCAACGGCAGGGCTGCGCAGAGCAGCAGCAAGCGGGCGACGCAGGCGGGCGGTAGCCTGCCGCTTGTTGTTTAACACATTAAAAAGAGGCAAGACAACGTGCTCCTTTAGACGAAAAGGAATAAAAGGCCTGCTCTTGACTCACCCGACTACCGGGTGGACACGTGAAGGGTTCCTCCTTGCCTCCAGGGCAGAAATACCCCTTTGGGCACGACAGCGGAGTGTCTGTCTCTTCGGGGCAGTAGTGGTTGGCAGGACACGCAATCGGTTCAACAGTCTCTCCTGGGCAGTAGAAATTCCGCGGGCAGGGTATGGGCTCTGTAGACCCCTCCGGGCAATACGCCTTCGCCACACAGGCTTTCCTATAGCTTGCATTTTCCCGCTGCAGCAGTATCGCCCATTCAATACCTTCCACCAGCGCTTTTTCTGCAAATGAGCGGTTTGCCGCCGTCTCTCCAGGACACGAGAAGCCTGAAAGAAACATGGAAGGCAGCGAGGTAGAGAGGGCACGCAGCGATATCAGGAGATTGCCGCTACAGCGGGCCTTGAAGCGAGACCCCGTGGCCCCTTCAACTTCCTATACGCGTGCAGGAGTTGTACAGACGTCTCCTCCCAAACTGTCTTGTTTAGAGGGGCTGAGGCACTAACGCGTACCTTGAGGACACGGCCTGCACTCTTCAGCGGACTTTGTGCCCACCCGGTCGTTGAACGTCCCAGGAAGACAGGCCGTGGGCTCCGCACTGCCTTCCAAGCAGTAGTGCCCCCATGGGCACACGCTGTTGGTGTATATCTCCATCCCCCCAACGGGGCAGAAGTGTCCCTACGGAGAAGCACCCTCAAAGGCAGCAGACAGCTCTTACACAGCAACACAGATATGCATCTGAACTTTAAGGAAAAGATACTAGTGGCATGACTGCAGAACAAGCAAAAGAAATAATCCCACACCCACCGCCGTGCATGGCATACACATCCCGGCCGTCGTCGCCCCACGAGCGCCCTGGTATGTTCCCGGTGGACAGACAGTAGGGGTGGCCTCTCCCTGGAGACAATAGGAGCCCTCTGGACAAATTATTGGGGCCTGAAGGACAAGGAAACAGCAACCATGGCGAGAATTTCAACAGGCAGTATACGCAGCTTCGCCTTGTGCTAAAGAACCTATTCAGGAGCAGACAAGCGAAGACAACAAAGGTAATTCGTAGGAATCAGCAATGCCCGTCTAAAGTACCGCAGCCTCAAGCCAGTCATTCTCGGCATATAAGAAGGCCGCAATTTGCTGTGCAAGAGAGGCGGCAGAGCCACCACTAGCGTGAGAAAACAGCATAGCTCTGGAGTAGGGCTTCAGGAAAATGCGTGGCTCCTACCACTGTCAAAGAGCTGCAAATGTAGCCGGTTGGACACTCGACGCATTCGGCGTCCGACGTCGCCCCCTCAGCAAGGGTGGCCCAGCCGTTGGGACACCGGGACGGCACCTTTGCTCCCGCTGGGCAATACATACCAAATGGACAGGGCCCTCTGAGTTTGGTAGAGGCACAAACAAGATCACACCAGAGACACATTCAAACGCAAGGCCTCATCCCTCAGCAAGACACGCAAACGTTTAAGACAAACCCTGTAGAGTGCCCTTTCCCCCTTTCTTTACATTTCCCAAATATGAGAGCGCCACAGGCTTCCGGCTGCTGAGTCTGTTAGCCAACGCCTGGGGGCAAGATTAGTTTGAAGGCCTCGGAGGAAGGGTAGAGCTGTATGCGCTGTCTTCGGAACAAGTGCTACTTACGCAAGTTGTATTTGGACGCCACTCCAGAAGCTCCCGCCCTGCTGCTCATAGTCGATCGAGGAGACTGTCACCCCAGGCGCCGCACCGCCCAGACACAGGGTGCCTGCAGGACAGTCTTCACTTGCGTTTCCGTCTTTGCATATTTTTCCTGCTGGGCACTCTGCGCACTGCTCTTGCGAGCTGAGGCCCTCTGAGAGACCCACTGTCCCAGGGGCACACCGTGTCTCCTCCGACTGCCCAGAGGGGCAGTACCCCCCTATAGGGCAAGCAGTTTGCTGCTGGTTTTTACATATAAAGCCAGCAGTGCAATCAGGGCATTTCTCCATCCCTAAAACGCAACAGCAGTATCAGCAGCAGCAGCTTACATCAGGCTGAGACAGATGAGACAAGGGGGACAGCAGTCATTCAGAAAAGTGCTTGCGTGAATTCAAGAGACTCCGCCAAATCCTTAGTGGCCTGTTGCTGCTGCTGCTAATTGATTGCTGCAAACTGTCCCCGTAGGGCCTTTTTATGTTTGACGGATCGAAACGGGCTATCTGCCGAGGGGTAAGAAGCGGCTCTCAAGAGCTATCTTCAAGACAGAGCAAAGAACGGGAAATAGCTCGTGCAGTAATATTGATTCCAAAGGCTTCACTCAGCTAAGAGGATAGAGGGTACCTTCAGATAGATTATATGTGCCCGCAGGGCACTCCAGCGGAGTGGAGGAGCCTGAGAACCCAACAAACACTGATCAACGTTCTGCATGCCTATACCCAACGGTTCGTTTCCGCAAGGCATGCACTTCGAGGCGAGGTTAGTGAATTCATGCATGAATGCATGCATGCATGTAGGATGCGTGCCTGCCGCGTACGTTATGTTAATTGTGGGGTCTAGGGTTGGTGTATGCTACCTGCTGGGCAGTATTTGTGCTTAGGACAGATTGCGCCCTTAACATTGTCTTTGGGTGTTGGTGTGTCAGAGCCTTCTAAACAATAAAACCCTGCAAAGCAAGGCCCGTCCGCTGAGGCCGTCGTGACAGCCTCGTGTGCGCAGTAAACCCCTGCTGGGCACTTCAAACAAGCAGAAGCCCCTTGCTTATCTTTGTAGTAGCCTAATTGGCAGGGCTCTGGGACGATCTGCAGGGCAGGACAGAGCAGAGAAAAGAACATAATCCACACTCTCGACGCTTTTGCTCACAAGAAGAATGAAGCAGACATATGTTGAAGCTGTATGTGTTCTGCGGTGTCTGTCCCTGGCTTCTAGGGGACACCGACAGACAACGCCTGCTGCCTAGCAGGCCTTCTTGCATCTCTCAGGCGAAGGCTAAGAGGGGCTTACAGCTCCTGCTGCACAAGTATAACCCGCAGGGCACTGCACGACGGCGCTGGGCAGGTACGCCAGCGACGAGTCGCGTATCTGGGAGCCGGATATACACCACGTGCCCTCTGCGCATTCCCCAGTGGGCTCGTGGAGGCCAGTTGTCTCGCAGTACTTTCCTAAGGAACAAATGCAGAAAAGAGGCAAAACCTTGGGGGGGAGGAGGAAGCATCGACACAGAGGTGTCTCCTCTATACGCGGTCCGCACGAGAAGAAGTACAGCACCTGGCTGGGCCTCAATCGGGCTCTGTAGAAGGGTGTCTCCTTAATGCAAACAATGCTGGTATGGTTGAGGCATGCAGGTTCAGTAGCTGCAGGTGCTGCTGCTGCAGTTGCTGCAGCTCCAAGGGCGACGGCTTTGGTTACACCGGTGTTTAAGGGGGCGGCTGTATGCTGTATCCTCTTACCTGGAGGGCAAGCCAGACAGCCGCGTTCGCTCGTCTGCCCTTGCTCGCCATTGTAGCTCCCTACTGGGCACGGCCGCGGGCTGATGGCGCCCTCTGGACAGTAGTTCCCTACTGGGCACCAGTCTTTTGATGGGGCCTCTAGGCCTGAAGCAAGAAGGACAATACAGCTGTTTCCTTACTGCCTTTTGGAGGTGCAGCGATGCCTGCGCTGCTCTTCCACTGCCTACTGAGCTGAAGCATAGACGGGTTGAGAGATATGACGGCTAAGGGACCTGCGGTCCTTTGAACGAATCCTGCCAGATGCAGCAGCAGCAAGCATGCCTGTATACAGCTTGAGTGCCTTGTGCATGCAATTATCCCTCACCGTCCTGGTTGCACTGGACGCCTGCAGGGCACGGGATGCAGGTGTCTGTGAGCCCCTTCGTGGGCCCGTACGTGCCGATGGGGCAGACTCTGCTGTTGGTAGTGCCTTGGGGACAGAAGTGTCCCTTGGGGCACATGTCTCCTGTTGTACCGTCAGAAGGCCTCGCCGTTAACGCCGCCCCATAACATATAAAACCAGCGTCGCAGGGAGCTTTGTTACCTGAACTCCCGCAGTACACCCCAGCTGCACACTTGAGGCACTCTGACTCTGAGCTCGCGCCTTTCCGCGTGTGCCCAGTGCCGCTGGGGCAATGAATGGGGGACCAGTGGCCCTCTGGGCAGTAGCTATTTGGGGGGCACCTGAGGCGCATGCAAGGGACAAGCAAAGAGGGAACGAGGCTGGGTGTCTCTGCGCCGCGTTTGGGGGGAGACGGGGGCGCAGGCAGCCTCCTGAGCACTCCTGCGAAGGAGTAGTTCTCCCGTGTGTTCATCTGCTACTTTGAGGCGCATGCAGCCTAATAATAATAAGGGTGCATGCACCCTCCCACAACCCCTGAAACTCATTCATGAGGGTGCATGCACCCTGCTGTAACCCCTGCAGACCATTAATGACGGTGCATACACCCAAATAATAACTCCCGCTGATCCTCTCGTCAGGCGTGGGAGACCCAAGGTTGGTTGCACTCTCCTAGTAATATCCGCAGCTCTCATTATAGGCATAGTTCTGCCCGTCGCTGCTTCTAAAGGGTTCATATAAGATAAGAATGTGTGTACATGCCTATCTTAACTCACACTCGCGCATAAATACAAGGGAGAACACCGCCGCAAGGGTCCTCATTTTCTGTGTCTTCTCTTCGTGAGCTTGCGGAGGGCTCTTCTTCGGTGGAGCCATCGCGCCTTGAGTTGCTTAAGGTGCCGGCCCCAAGACTGCAGTAATACCCTGCGGGACACAGCTGCACGTCGTCGCTGGTGCCCTCGTGAGCGCAGTACTTCCCAGGGGGACAGGGGAAACAGTCTCCCACGGAGACACCTCCAGTGGCGTTTCTATAGGTGCCCACGGGACAGGGCTGGGGTTCAGAGACCCCTAAGGGACAGAAGCGGCCCTTAGGGCAAACCGTAGGAGTTGCTGAGGCCTCTGAACAATAAAAGCCGGCGGGGCAGCTGATGCAGCTCCCGCTGCCCCCGTCTATTTGGTAGTTCCTGAGACACCCGAAAAAGCAGCTGCATGCTTCTAAAAATAAATGCTCAAGGGACAACAAACAGCACTACTGTCATCTGCTCCGTTGCAAGCCAACTCTCCAAGAGCATCTTGACAGCCACTGCTGCATGCCCTCCCCCCCCTTTGATTGCGTTTCATGAGACTCGCGCCAGCAAGAGTGCAAAGAATATGCGCCCTTCTGGCCCTCCCCAGCAGACACACAGAGCAGCTGTACAGGCTCGGGTTGTACATATATATATATATAAATATATATATATATATATATATATATTATATTCAGTAGGCCACATGCACACATCCGCAGGCAGACAATGAAGGGCAAGAAGGCGAGCTAGGGCTTGCGTAACCAGAGACACTGTACACCAGGAGACCCTGCAGCTGCCGCTGCTGCTACAGCGTTCATTTGCTGCACCTGCTGCGGCGGCCGCAGCAACCACAGCAGCAGCAGCTGTAGCAACAGCAGCAGCAGTGGCGGCAGAGCCTGCAGCTGCTGCTGCACTGACCCCCAGGTGCAGCACTAAAGCGATAGAAATTAAATGTACATTGGGGCTTCTTGCGGTAGACTCACCCAGCCGGACAAGTTTGAGGCTCCCCCTCCCCACTCCCGCAGCGCGCGCCTGCTGGGCACAGTTCTTCAGCGATATCCTGAAGAAGGAATGGAGGGAGGAGAAGGGGACAGCAGCAGTGGCTGTAAGGCACTGTCTCCTGGATTGCAGTCGGGTTGGCCGCAGCAGGGCTGCCTGATGGTGTCTCCTGGGCCTTCCTTTTTACCTTTAGCTCCCTATGTACCTCTTCAAAAGCTTATAGGCTGTTGTAGACTCACCTTAGAGCCCTCTGGGCAATAGAAACCCTCAGCACACTTGCCCACTTCCCTAAGGAGACCTGTGCTCGGGCAGTATGTCCCCGCAGGACAAGGATCACATGCACTGAGCTCCCGCCCCGACCGGTGCTGGCGTACAGTCCCTGCATGCACCCGCATAAGGATAGCTAGCCAGCTACCTAGCTAGCCAGCTACCTAGTTAGCTAGCCAAGGGGGCGGGAAAGTAGCCACCTAACCAGCAATCCATACAGATAAGGAGACTTGCACTAGCTTAGCCAGCTGTACGTACCGCTGGGGCAGGCGATGGGCACTGAGGCGCCGGCAGGGCAATAGGAGCCTAAAGACCGCATACACCGCAATACACGGAGACAGCTGACGCATAGCACGTGTCTAGTAGCTGCATCACAATCGTATACACCCGACGGCCTCTCAGCAGGAGACAACCCGCTTCTCAGTCTGTCTCCTGGGTTGTCTGACGCACCTGAAGGGCACAGTCCTCCCACAGTCTTGGAGGGGCAAATGTGTGTGGGGCCCGAGGGGCTGTCTGTGACGGCAGCATTTCCGCAGAAGCTGCCTGCTGCACAGGCGCCCTGGGGCTCCGTCAGAAGGGACCTCCCGCAGTACATGCCAGGGGGACAGGGCCTAGCGAAGCGAGCGCTGGGTGGGCAATAGGTGCCGGCAGGGCAGGGTCCTCCGCCTGTTGTGGGGGCACCTGAGGCCCCCTCAGCAGCTGCTAACACCTTATCCAGAAGGAGGGAGCTGGCGGGAGTCGGAGAGACAGACTGCGAAATGCAGTAGTAGCCTTCAGCGCATGCAGTGGGGGTATCCGAGCCAGCGGTGGGACAGGCGTAGCCTGCGGAGACAGAGGAGACAGTGCGGAGACACGAGACAAAGCTGGTACAGGAGAGAGTGTGGAGAGCACCACCACCAAGTGCATTTGCTGTTAACTTGCTGCAGCAACTCTGCGTCTGAGGCTTTGAGGTGCTTTAAACGAAACAGGTGTCTCCTCCCCACCCTCGGGACAAGGGAGACAGGCGTCCGCGCTGGTGGCCCCATCAAAGGGCATGTAAGTGCCGGCAGGGCAGAGCTGAGCGTCGTTCTTCCCGTCGCAGTAGTGGCCTTTGGCACAGGAGGAGACATTTCCGTCTTTGCACTGTGTGCCTGCAGTGCAGCGGGAGCAAGTCGAGGAGCCCTCAGCAAAGGTGGAGTAGCCTACAGGGCAGTCTCCAGGGGAGGCGGATCCCGCAGGGCACACCTTCCCCTTGGGGCATAGCTTTGCCCAGGGAGATGTCGATCCCTCGGGGCAGTAGAAACCCGCAACACAACTCCCAGTTATCTGTCCCGAGGTGCTGCCGTCGCAGTAGTAGCCGCCTGTACAGGGTCTACACTGTACGGAAGATACAAACCCAGCCTGGGAGCCGTAGGTGCCTCGGGGACAGGGGACAGGGTCCAGGGACCCCTCCTCGCAAACAAAGCCAAGAGGGCAAGGAGTTGCCTCTTCCAGGGAAGAGCACCCTTCCGCGCACAACACGCCCCCAGGGCAGGTCATGTCAGGCTCTTCGAGGCCGTCAGCTGTGCAGAGTTTGCCTATAAAAAGGAGACACCCAGCACAAGCAGGACAGCTGTACATACTGTCTCTAATGTGCACACTGCATTTGCAAGAGACACCGAGAACTGATGATTAGCGCCTTCCCTTAGCCTGCGTCTCCTTAAGCCCAGCTAGGTGTTGGGTGCTGGCCGGGAAAGGCTAAGGGAAATAAGGGTCAATAGAGACGAATAGAGCGGAGACAGACAGCCAGATGTGTTGTACCTGCAGGACATGGGATAGGAGAGACAGATCCCTCGGGGCAGTAGTTTCCAGCGGGACAGATGAGGACAGCTGTAGCCGCTTGGTTGGCCTGATCTCCTGGGGGGCAGTAATAACCAGCAGGACAGACAGTGTCTGCACTTGTAAGGCCCGGGTCGCCGCATACCTTGCCGAGGGGACAGGGCTGGCACTGATAGGGACTCTTGAGGCCCTGGCCAGCCGCAAAGGTCCCCGAGGGACACTGAGGCGGAGCAGCAGAGTCCGAGCTGGCGGGGCAGTAGTGGCCCTGGGGACAGAGATGGGATGCATAGTTGGCTGTACGAATGCCGCAAGAGAAACCCGCGGGGCAAGGCAGGCACTCCGCAGCGCCGGAGACCCAGTTAAAGCTCCCTGAGACAAACCCAACAGAGGACAGGAGACACCGGAGAAGAGACAATACACACATAGTGTCTCCGCCCCAGCAAGCAAAGAATGCGGAGAGACGGTAGAAAGAGGCAGGTGCATAAACTGGAATGCAGGCAAGAGGAGACAATGCACTTCATGAGACTTTGTATAGAAAGGGGACAGACACACCAGCAGGACAAGCGATCTCCCCAGTAGCGCCAGCTGGACAGTAGTTCCCCGCTCTGCTCGCACAGTAGCATCAAGCAGCGTATACACCCCAGCTCAGCTCAAACAGTAGAAGAAGAGACAACGCAGCTCCCGCAGAACTAGACAACAGCAGGCTATCCATATGTGCAGAGGCCCTTGGCCTTCAAGCCCGCGCCTGACGGCAGCTAGCGACTGCCTCCTCTCGCGAAGGAGACACTTCGACCGCTGCTGGCCACCTCTGCAGGCATGCTTACTTGCATGGAACAGCGTAGGGTGTGCGGCTGCCTGCGGGGCAAAGATAGCCGGGGGCACAGCGGCCCTCGGGCTCCTTCAACCCCATCCTAGAGCAAAAAGAACCCTCTGTACACTTTGTGCATTGGTAGTTCATCACCAGTCGGTCGGTGGCCCCGTAGGTCCCCGACTCGCACAAGTGGGGCCGCTCCAGTCCCTATACACCGCAGTGCATGCATGCAGCAGCAAGAAAGAAACTTCCTGTCTCTGTCGCGGCTCCAGAGGAGACACGCAAACCAAAACGCTACTTCAGCTGTCTCCTCACAGGCCTTGTGCTAAACGAAAAACCCTAACCTAAACCCTAGCCCTATCCATCACATCACCGCCCTGAACGCTGCCTTGTCCTCACCGTCTTTTGAGGGTTTAGGGTTTAGGGTTTAGGGTTGAAGGAGGCTAAGGCAGGCAAACTGGAGGGAAGAAGAAGCTGTTGGTGATATGTTGCAACGAACTCTGGTACAGTAGGTGCCTCTTGGGCAAGGCCCTGCGGTGTTGTCAGGCGCCTTCTCGGGTCTTGGTACAGATGCTCCTCGTGCGCAGAAGTAGCCCTCATCGCAGCTGCCGGAGACCAGCTGGTTACCTTTGCCGAAGCAGTAGTATCCTGGGGGACAGGGCCTGCAGCTGTCTATAGAAGGCTGCATGGGGCTTGAGCTAAGAGTCCCTTCGGGGCATGGAGTGGGGGTCACCGAACCCTCCTCGCAATAAGAGCCCGCAGGGCATTCCACAAGTGTCTCCGATCCTTCTTGAGGGCAGTAGAAGCTGCAGAGACACACATAACAGAAACACATTTGGTGTCTCTACGTACGATTGCGCATGGCAGCAGCAGCAGCAGCTGCTGCTGCTGCTGCTTGCAGCTGCAGGTGCTGTTGCTGCTGCTTGCATCTGCAGGTGCTGCTGCTATAAAAAAGAATGCAGCAGCCTTGCAGTATCGTATATGGATGCGTTTGTCTGTCTCTACTATGCTTTTTCTTGGTGGTCTCCTACTGTCCTCAAGCAGCATGAGGTGCCTATACACCCGGTCGGGCGCGTACCCGGCTAAACAGAGCGTGCACTCTGCTTGTGCCTCGTTGGGATTGAATGAGCCCTTAGGACAAGGGGTGGCCTTAGCAGCCCCTTCAGCAGCGAAATGCCCTTTGGGGGCCCTCTGCTGTCTGGGGTTGCTGGCGCCCCCAGGGCAAATATACCCCGCTTCACACAACCCCGTGGGGGCTGTGCTAGTGCTGCCCTCACAGTAGTAGCCAGGGGGACAGGAGACACAGTCAGCTGGACCATGCCCTATCTTATCTGGGTTGTATGTACCCCCTAAACAAGGCTGCTTCTGCAAGCCACCTGCTGGGCAATAGCCACCTAAACTGCATGCAAAGCCCGTTTTACCGTCTTCAGGCCGAGGTGTCGTTGCGCCCCCCAAGCAAATGTAACTGCAAACCAAACAAACACATAAATACTAAACTCTAAACCCTAAACCCTAAAACCCTTAACAATATATAAACAAACACAAAACACGTTGAGACACAAAAAGGGAGTGAGAGTTAGTACAGTATTTGATAAAGACAAATGCGTATACTACACTAGAAAAAGAGACATATATGTACAAGAGGAAAAGACACAAATGTGTATAATATTAGACAAAGAAGCAGATATGTGCACCACGAGATAAAGACACATTTATGCAGAATATTAGACAAAGACACCGAATAGCAGGAAAAAAAGACATCGATGCGTATACGGCCAAAAAAAAGAGATAAACATGCACACAAGTAGAAGAAGTTGCAGTATATATATATATATATACATATATATATGTATATATATGCAGTTTGTTTTATTCAGTTGTTAGCATAACTTGCGATGTAGTACGTTGCATAGACTGGCATTAGGAGAAGGGACCCCAAGGCAGGAGCCCCCAAAGAAAAAAGGGAGAAGAAGAGAAAGAGACAGTTGAAAAAAGTAAGTACAACTACACGATAACTCCTAAACATCGCAATCAAAAGAACCAACAGCTTGACTTAATCCTTATAACGAAGGGTGATGCTGCTTACCCTGCCTGACAGGCACCTGAGGGTGTAAGGAGACCCGTTCCAGAGCAGAAGTAGCCAGCAGGACAGGGGAAGCAATCGTCAACAGAGCTCCCCCCTGTATATCCTCTATAAGTGCTAAGGGGACACCTCTGAGCCGTCACAGATCCTGCAGGGCAGTAATGACCTGCAGGACATGGCTGCTGGACTAACACCCCATTTTGCACTTGGCAGGTGACCCCGGGCTCGCACGCCTCGCAGTCTGTCTCCGATTTGCTCCCGGGATTACGCCCCACAGTCCCTAACGTTCAAGGAGACACACTGTACATCTTTACACCCTCCGCGTCAACCCTAAACCCTAATCCCTAAACACCATATATATATTTACATATATATATATATATGTAGAGAGAGAGAGAGAGAGAGAGAGAGAGAGAGAGAGAGAGAGA